TCCTCCTCCTCCTCCTCCTCCTCCTCCTCCTCCTCCTCCTCCTCCTCTTCCTCCTCTTCTTTTGCCACAAACCTCTCTCTTTCCAAATCTTAGCTCTCAAATGAACTGCGTGCGCTCACCAGTATGGAACCACGGCTCTATTTGGCAAGAGTGGACCCCAAGGGCTCGCTCTAGCTCAGCGGTCCTTTAGTGATTACTTGGATTGGGACAGGGATGGGTTGGATGGTTTTGCAGGCTGGGCTTTCAGTTCCCAGGAAGCCTGTCTCCAAAGGATGTAAGTGAAACTTGCTGTAGCAATCTTAAGGCGCGATCCCTAACTTCTCTCCAAGATGCCTTTAGCATTTGGCAAGCCAGGCCTCTTTCTTCTCATCTTCACCCTTGTTTCCTTTTCTTTCTCCCAGGACCTCTGCAGTTTTCCTCTGCAATCTGATTTCTTTCTGTCTGCTCCCTCTTCCTTATCCTACAGACAGAAACGCCTTCCAGTACTAACCCACTCTGCTCTTCCCACTTCGTCCCCTCTTAGCCCCAAATCCAAACACTAATATTTGTGACTAGGAGACTTTAGGAGGTCTAGGAATTACCTGTAAGAAACAATGGTTTTAAAAAAATTTTTTTGAGCCTGGCTAACGCGACCAGATTCACACCCATGAAACTTTCTCTTGAGTGAGATCTCTTGCGGATGTACAGATGTAAACATCTTTAAAAGTGAAACCTGCCACGCGGATCTGGCCAGCCCACCCCTCTGTCCATGCTCTCTTTTCTTTTCAGTGTTTTTTCGTTAGGGCTATCCATGCTTCACGTTTCCTTCTGTGGTTTTTCTTTTCTCAGCGTTTTAGGAATGGAATTGGGGAAAAAGGTGTTTTGTGAGGGTTTTGTTGTTGCTGCTTTTTTTTTTTTTTAAATTTTAATATCCAAAAACAATCAGAGGAAGTGGGACCAGGGGTTTTAGAGTGGATTCCAGACTGGCATTTATCTTTGGCTCTTCACCTGGGATTGATGAACGTTCGCTGGAGAGCCTGGAGTTGGTGAGAGGTTGACAAATGCTCTTTCCCTATTGCCTGACAAAGCTATTCCTGGGAATGATGGAGGATAGTGAGTCCTGGGCGGGCTAGAACAGCATTCTCCCTCCTCCACACTCTAGTTTGTTAGGGAGTGAGAGGGACATAGCCTGTCCAGCATTTATTGTGGGTCAGAATCTTTGCTGAAGATAGTTGTTGATTTGTGTTTTAAGCAGTGGTATGGACCAATAATCTCCTCTTCAATTTTTTTTTTTTTTCTCAATTTCTGGGAGGCTTGTTCTGAAGTGAAAAGTCAGGTAGTTGGCTCTAGGAGAAATGTTTGGCAGGACTAGAAAATAATGAGCAATTTTAGTCTTTTTGTGATTGAAGATGGGTGAGACAGCTATGCTGGACATAGGCCCCTACACATACACAGCTGATGGGCAGTTTAATCTTCATGTAGGTTCTTTAGTAAGGGGAGCAGGGGCTGTCTCTGACATGGACTTTGTTGCCTGCTTTTCAATCACTTCCTTCTGGCAGGGCTGCCTTGCCTGGCCTCAGTGGACAAGGATCTGTTCAAGTCCAGACTTGACATGCTGGGGTAGGTTGTTGTTGGTGGGGGATCCCCTTTTTGAGGAGTAGAGAAGGGGGGGCGTAGGGGAAAGAGGGAGGGACCAGGAGGAGAGGAGGGAGGAGTTGCAATCAGGATGTAAAGCGAATAAATAAAAATAATAAAAAGGAGTTAGTTAAAACAAAAACAAAAACAACAACCAAGAAAATGGATGGGAACTCACTTGCCTTCTAACCTGCAGGCTTCGTGAGGCTGAGGGATGATCGACCTGGGTTTTTAAAGCCCTTAAAACAGACTTCTGACTGGACAGTCATAGAAGAATACACAAATGACCAAAACTAGGCTTATTCTCTCTGAACTGGAAAATCTGACTATCAAGTAGTCCTTTGAATAAGAATAGCTCCCTAGGCTCATTTAGTAATCAGAACGTGGAATTTTTTTTTTTTTTTTTGGTGGGTGCAGTGAGCTTTTTGATGGTATTCAAGAGAGTTGGGTTCCCTGGGCCCCTCCTACTATTCTGGGGGTCTGGGATGGAAACTGTGAGGGAGATTCTCAGTGTCAGGGGCTGAGTTGGGACAGGAACTCCTCAGCAGCCGAGGAGTTCTCCTCTGGCTCTCCTGTCCTTGCTCGGGTGGGTGGTTCAAAGGCTTCTTACTCCTTGGAGGCCATGTAGGCCATGAGGTCCACCACCCTGTTGCTGTAGCCGAGTTCATTGTCATACCAGGAAATGAGCTTTACAAAGTTGTCATTGAGGGCAATGCCAGCCCCAGCATCAAAGGTGGAAGAGTGGGAGTCACTGTTGAAGTCTCAGGAGACGACCTGGTCCTCGGTGTAGCCCAGGATGCCCATTAGTGAGCCCATGGATGCCTGCCTCACCACCTCCTTGATGTCATCTTACTTGGCAGGTTTCTCCAGTCGGCATGTCAGATCCACGACAGACACGTTGGGGGTAGGAACACGGAAGTCCATGCCAGTGAGCTTCCCATTCAGCTCTGGGATGACCTTGCCCACAGCCTTGGCAGCACCAGTAGATGCAGAGACGATGTTCTGGGAAGCCCCATGGCCACAACTTTCCAGAGGGGCCATCCGCAGTCTTCTGGGTAGCAGTGATGGCATGGACCATGGTCATGAGTCCTTCCACGATGCCAAAGTTGTCATGGATGACCCTGGCCAGGGGGAGGGGCTAAGCAGTTGGTGGTGCAGGAAGCATTGCTGACAATCTTGAGTGAGTTGTCATACTTCTCCTGGTTCACACCCATCACAAACATGGGGGCATTGGCACAAGGGTCAGAAAGATAACTCTTTTGGCCCTACCCTTCAAGTGGGCCCCAGCCTTCTTCATGCTGGTGAAAACACCAGTAGACTCCACAACGTAGTTGACACCATTGTCACCTCATTGGATGTTATTGGGATCTCGCTCCTGGAAGATGGCGATGGACTTCCCGTTGATGACAGGCTTCCCGTTCTCAGCCCTGACTGTGCCATTGAACTTGCCATGGGTAGAGTCGTACTGGAACACGTAGACCATGTAGTTGAGGTTGATGAAGGGGTCATTGATGGCAACAATCTCCACTTTCCAGAGACGTAGGCTGGCATCCAATACAACCAAATCCATTCACTCTGGCCTTCACCATTGTGTCTAAGGGTTGAGATGTGCTGAAGAGATGTGGCTGTCTCTGGCACAGGGAGGAGCAAAGAGCCAAAAAGTGGAATTTTTAAAAAAGATTAGGAGGTGTGGCCTTGTTGGAGAAAGTATGTCATGGGGTAGGGGGAGGGGCTTTGAGGTTTCAAAAACCTATGCCAGGCCCAGTCTCTCTCACCCTGTTGCCTGTGGCTCAGGATGTAGAATTCTCAATACTTCTCCAGTGCTATGACTGCCTTTGTACCTCCTTGCTCCATGCCGTGATGATAATGGACTAAGCCTCTGAAACTGTAAGCAAGTTTCCAATTCAGTTCTTCTTCTTCTCCTTTTTTTTTTTTTTTTTTTAGAATTGCTGTGGTTATGTCTCTTCACAGCAATAGAACATTGACTAAGACAGTTCATTTTACAAGGAAATTTTCTGAGAAAAGCTGTATATGATATCTGTAAATAAAATTTGTGAAGGAGATCAGAATTCTAAAATTTCTAAATGATGAACATATTACATATATCTTACTAGTTTATCAAACTTCAAATTGACATATTTCACACGAGTAACTGTATGGTTCGGGATTTGAACATTTCTAGGATAAAATTGTGAGTATGGGGCTCAGCAGGTAAAGTTCTTGTCTTTATGTCTGATGATCTGATTCCTGGCACCCATGTGGCAGGAGAGAAATGACTCTGGCAAGTTGTCCTCTGACCTCTACATGTGCATTGTGATGTATGTATGCAGGCATGCGTGTGTGCACATACATACATACATACATACATACATACATACATACACAACAAATGTGAAAAATTAAAAATTATGGTTGGGATTGTGCATGCTTGCACTCTCATAACACACATACATTTATGTACCTAAAAACAAATACAATAAAAATCATGAAAATTTCTGGTTTTCAGAAAAGTCAAAATAGGATTGATTGATGGCCTAAGCCTTGACTCTGAACATTTTGTAATGTTTGAGCTATTCTTTTTGCATTAAATGGTTTAAATTTTCTTAAGAAAAATATCATTTATCCATAAATTCTTCAGTATGGCAATGTGAATAAATAAGGATCTTTCCCCTACATAGTTATAACTCCACATTTGTGTTCACTCAGTTGTTTTGACATTCTTTTATGGGTGATTTACTCAAGCAAAATTATCCAAATCAAGAAATAAACACTGCAGCTGGTAATTTAGGTCAATTTTTAACCTATACAATACTCTCTGGCCTGCCCATTTGTCTGTGAATCTGTCTATAAAACTGACTTGTCAAAGGGTCAGGCCAGTTGGCTTGTAAAATGTCTCTTCTGGACTCTTCAGATTTCTCTTTATGGTACCATTGACTTTTCATTTCATCCTTTTCTTGTTGCCTGAAAACTAGTTCCGAAGACTTGTCTTATTCCATTTGGGTTACTGTAACAACATGCCATGAGCTGGCTAGCTTATGTACAATAGAAACTCATTTCAAAGCAGTTCTAGAGACTACAAGTCCAAGGTCCAAGTTCTGGTTATTTTGGTGTCTGACGAGGGCCCATTTCATGGCTAGCAGAATGGTGCTTTCTTACTGTGGCTTCACCTTGTGGGTAGCAAATTCTTGAGGACTCTGCATTCCAATCAGGAGGACTCCCTCTTCACCACCTAATCACTCCCTTTAAGATTTCAATGTATGAACTTTGGGGGATAAGAGCACCAGTCCTTTTGCAAAGTTCAATGGACTCTGTTTTAACTTACTGTATAATGAGAGTGTTTCAAAGCCTACTGTGGAGGTGCATGCCTCTGATGCCATCACTTGGGAAGCTGATGTCAACTTGGTCCATATAGTGAGACAGTCTCAAGAAACAAAAAAGCAAGGAAAAAAAAAAGTTAATTCAATATACTCATTTTCCAGATTTTTTCCTCTGCTTCATCCCCCATGTCCCACAGGTGGAATCACCTTCTGGAATACATCCAGCAGCACATCAAGAGCAACAAGTTGCACTTTGTGGGGCTCCGAGTTGTCTACATCTTGTGGAGCACAAGGTGTGTGGCCTCAGCACTAGTGACAGTAGAAGGACTGTGGGTGCTGGTCATCCCTGTTTCCATGCCCCACCGTTTCTTCCTTGCTTCCAGTCACTCGTGGGCACAACTTTATATTACGTACATATTTAGTTTCTTACCAATGTTTACTCGTTGGCTTAAAATCCACTAATGACCATCTCTTAAGCTATCTCATTGGAGGTTTCAAAATGCTGTTTCTCTAATTCTTGAATTACATTAGCTGGCACACACACACACACATACACACGTGTGTTTGTGTCTATGTGTGTGAGAGTGAGTGTGACGGGAGTGAGGCATGTGTTGGGTCAGAGGACAACTTGTGGGTCTTGGGGATGGAATTCAGGTCCTCAGGCTTGGCAGCAGGTGGCTTCACCTGCTCTGCCATTTTCTCAGCCCCACGCCTTGCTTTTTACATGGGCACTAAGTGTTGACCTCAGGTGTTCATGTTTGGAATACACTTTACCAACTGAACCATCTCTCCAGCCTTTAGCAGCATTCTTTTTATGAAACCAACATGTCCTTACAACTGAGCTATTTAATTATTCCTTCTGGAAAGAAGACACTATGTTTCTTTCCTTTTCACGCTGCCAGCTTTGAAGCAGGAATTTGAGAAAATAGCCATCTCTTATAACTGAACTTTTAACAACTGAATTTGTTTCACTTTCGGCCCTTGGAAATGCTCCAGGAATTCTTGGCTGTTTGTGCATTCAATTTTAGTGGATTAGTGAATAAATAAGATACTTTTAGCTTTCCACCTTCCACTTGGTGCCAGGGAAGAACCCCAGCCTTTAGGGATGTTGGGCAAGTGTTCTCTCATTTTTATAGTTTCTATGTTGTTATAGAAACTTACTTAAAACCTCCTGAGGAATATTTTATTTTCTCCCCTAAAGACACAAACCATGCTATACCTTAGAGTGAAAGAAAAACAATGACTATATATTAAAAAGTCAATAGGAGAACTGAGAAGTAAATAGTATTTGATCTTTGGAATAAGATTAGTCTGGAACTAATTGGTCTTTGAACTTGTTTTTATTTTCATCTGGTTCAGAACCTCTTTGGTAGTATTGAGTCACACACACACACACACACTTTAAATAGTTTAAGAGCTGAATGGGCCACGCTTGCTGTGAAAATGCCTTTGTTTTTTTCTGGGTGGGTTCACCTGCAGTTAGGATCAAATTTCTCTTTGACTGGAATCTTCTTACTTAGCTCTAACTACCTTCAATATTGGGCACTGTGTTTTCCTCAAGATGTTTCTGGAGTTTTCTAAAATTTTCTATCTCCATACTTGACCTTATAAGCAGACAGAGAAGTGACTAAAGTCTTCCTTCTCTGGAGATTATATTTTGTGGCATGGTTCTGCTGGTGGAAATGTCTTAGGATCAGCACAATCCTCAGCTCTATCCAAGTGTGACAGCTGAACATTTTGTAATGTAGCTAGTGTGATCAATGAGCTATATTTTTAAATTTTTCTTTCATTTTCATTAAATAAAATGGAAATAGTCATAAGTAGTTAATGGTAATGATGTTGGACAGCACAGAGCTGAAAGTTAGTTATTAAACTGTGTGTGTGTGTGTGTGTGTGTGTGTGTGCGTGAAAATTGGAGTTGGTCTGTATACCCCAAAGCATCTGCAGGCTAAACAGATCACCATCTTGGGGTCCTTGCAAACATCACAGCTTGCAGGAGAATGATCTGTCCCACGTGAAGAATGACAGTCAGGTCAGCACAAGGCGCTGGGGTCAAAGCTTCCAGAGTCTGACCTCACAGTTTATTTTTCTTACACCTTTAAACACAGTAAAACTTTGGGGAAACGTCACCATATTACAATCATCACAACAGAGCTTCAGGGTGGCTAACCCTGAAACTACCTTGCAAGGAAGGAAAGCACCTGTGATCTTTAGAGTAAGAATGGCTTCTATTGACTGATAAACAGAGCTCAGGGTAAGGGTGGAGGGAGGAAGGATTTGTAGTAAACACAAGGATGGATTCTGTTGAAGGAGGATGCAAAGTACATGGGACCTCGTTGACACAGATGGGTTCTATTCACTGAGAGACAAAGCTCAGGATTAGGGCCTCAACAATGCTAAGGATTTTGGGGGGTCAAGGTAAAGGCCAGGTCCATAGAAGAAGTTCATCATGTTGTTAGATGACATCCATTCCACCCTTCAGGCTAACCAGGAATCGGTCATTTTTCTTCTCTGGAAAACAAAACAAAACCCCTGCATGTTTAAAATTTTAGTTTCTGGGAATGGAGTGGTTAAGAGAACTGACTGCTCTCCCCAAAGCCCTGAGTTCAGTTTCTAGCACCTGCATTGCAGCTCACAATCAGATGCCCTCTTCTAGTCTGCAGGCTTTCATGCAAAGCATCCATACACATAAAAAAAAAAAATAAATCTTAAAAAGAACAGCAAACAAGAGAGACCAAGCCTGGCTCCTCCGGGGCTTTCTCTAAGCTGTGCCTCCTCCATCATCATGTATTGTAAACACATACTTGGAAAGTTCACGCAAGGTTTCTGAGTGTGACAACTGTGGAGGTAATGGTTTGGTAGAAACAGCCTTGCATCAGCAGCTGGAAGGTGGACCATGTTTTTCTTTCTTTGTCATTCAGGTTGCAGAGTAGACACGTTAACCTTTTTGGCATGGCTAGAAGCCACTTGTCTTCAAATTAGGAATGGTAATATCACTGAACTACCCTGGGAGTCCTATCAAGGCTTGTTCCAGAAGTCACTTTGTAACATCTAAGCCACCACGTTAGTCAGTTTTCATTGTTGGGGCAAATGCAGCGTTAGGGATAAAGATTTAACTTATCCCACCGTTTCTGGGATGTCGATCTCTGCTCAGTCTGCTATGGGCCCATAGTGAAGAAGAAGACCGTGGAGACAGGAACCGGGAGCTAATCAAAGTTGCCCCAGCAACCTCCACGGTGGTCAGAAAATGTAGTGATGTAGGACAGAGCCAGGGACAAAGCATGTGTTTCCTGGCATGCTCCCAGCTACCCATTTCCCCCGGAGGCCCTACCTACCAGTTTTGCCATTATATCATGATCCCATCAAGGGCTTAATCTTGAGTAGGTGGAAACTCCAAGGATTCAACCACTTCTGCTAAAGTCCATCAACCCACAAATCACCTTCTCAGCACGTGAGCCTTTGAGAGACATCTTAGCTTTAAACCAGAATACGTTTTAGCAAAAAGAAAAAATAACATTGTTGTGGCTAACTGAATGTGTCTTAGATAATTATGACTTACCCGCATGTATTGAACAAAGCCTGCCATGGGTCCCTTTACAGTTCTGTTGTACATTAGCCATGAGAAAATACATTTGCTAGTCAAGTATGGACTGTACGGACAACATGATGACCAGCAATGATAAACAAAGGGTACAGTATAGCCAAGAGATTGCAAGAGCTAGTCAATATCAGTGACATTTTTCAGAGGCGGAAGCTGGATTACTGTCACCTGAGGCAGGCTGAGTCAACTGGGGATTTGGGACTGTTCCCCAGCCAGGTGCTCCCATAGACTGTATGATCCCGATTGCCCACGAAAAGCTGGTCGTTCCAAAAAAGAAACAAGAGCATTCTTGTTTGCACACTTGTTGCAACTCTCTGGGGGCCTGATCTTGGTGTGGTTCCAAAGAGGAATAACACAGACTGGATGTTGGAACAAGGTAGGTGTGCTGGCAGTGGGTGGGCTTGCAGTGAGGAGGCAAGAGCGGCACTCTGTACCTCACCACCCAGGACTTCTTCCCTGCATTAGATCTGAGAATCTAAGGTTGGGTGGCACAGGATCTTGCCTCCAGAAGAAGAGTGGTTGCTTTGTGTTTTTAGATGGTGTTCGCTATAGAACGGATGGACAGAAAAAGCTTCTACAGTGCGACGTTAGGGAAAGCAGGCTCATGGTGCCCTCAGGGGAAGCCTGGAAGGAGCCTTCCATAACTTTGCCTCACTGCCCTTTCTGGATCTTCATCCCTGAGTGTGGAACAGGCAGACCTTCTGGGAGCAACAACACACCTCAGGAGCCCTCGGCTGCCTCCATTTCCCTGGGTGACCAGTGTAAGGTCGACACTTTTAGTCTCTAGTCTTCATTCAATCTTTTTAAGGGGAATTTAAAGGAGGGGGAAGAGTTTGGAGAACAGCTGGGCCCTCCCAGTTGCTGGGTGGTTATTTTAAGCTTTGGTTCATGTATCCAGAGCCCCAGATGGTGTTTTCAACTAAGCTGCTTTATTAAATCTTGTGATAAAATATAATGGTGTTTATTGAAAAGGCAGACACACATCCACAACATTGTGTGTAAAACTTGCCCTAAGAATCACTTTTTATCGAAAGTCTATTTTGATGGGGCCCTTTGTGAGCTCTGCAAGTTTGCTGATTACTTTACAGACTTGAGGACCATTGTTAGAGAACAGCAATATAAATAAGCATTGAAATAGGATTTTAACAAGATTTCTTGGGAAAAACATACAGGAGAAAATGGATCTGATCATCCCAGGAATATGAAAATGAAGCTAGGGCTCCGGTGTCAGGACCTAGGAGTAGATCTGAAAACACTCAGGCCAGGCCAGTGTACCGCCACTGCTTGGGCTTACACAGCCAAGGGGGCATTTTAACTTCTTTCATCTGATTTTCCTCTGCTGATTATGAACAAATGCATATCTATAACACACTCAGGGCTTTCAAAAGTGAAAGCTCACATTTCCTGAATCCTTAAATATCATGTACCTCTTTTGGTTTTAGTGACATCACCTTTTGGAGCAATGTCTGTATTTGTATGAAGAGAAAATAATTCAGGAACACTCAACCATCAAAGAAGATCTTTTCCTTGGCCTGGAGTCATGGAGGTTTTTGACTCTTCCCTTTCCAAGTCTTTACTAAGAAGCGTTTTGTACAAACATAATATTGTTTTTGCCAATCTTGTTGTTTTCCTCTAACAAGGTTCCTGGTTTCTAGCTGGTGTTATCTAGTTTTATATTTAGGATTTCCAAAAGAAAAAAGAACTGAAAACAGAGGTACAGAGTTTAATTTATTCAATAAAATATCTCAAAAAAATATGGAGAGGAGAACTTTAAAACTAATGGCTTGTATGTCCAAAGCAGAACACACTCTCCCAGATCAAGGAGAAAATCCAAACAATTTAACATGAAAATTGTCACCAACAAACACACAAAGAAGGTAATCAACCTCATTGTAACCAGCTAAGTCTGAATAAAAATAACCAGTATGTTTAAAAAAAATTGAGACTACTCAAGATTTGGTGTGAGTAGGCGAGAGTCGTCATGTTTATTGCATATCGTTGGTGGATATTAATAGACACAACGTTTCGGCCAGTCAGCTTGGCAGTAAATATCTTCACTTAATAGAGTTTTTATGCAACAGCCCAGGCGAGTGTTAATGTAAGAACCAGTTCTGTAGGTGTTAAAGTACAGGTGTGGAAGCCCGTGTCCAACCGCGCTCACTGTGGCGCTTTGCTTAGAAAACAATCTATACATTCCACACTGGGGAAGCGGCACATGACTTATGACATGGCCTCACAATGATACTAGTAACATCCGAAAATGGAAGAAGTGGAACAAGAAAGATGTGAATGGCAGCCTGCTAACTCGAAAAGCAACCAGTGGAAAGCACGCTCAATATATATATTGAGCTCAACCATATATATTAGGTCAGCAAATAAGGTTGGACTCCAACCAGGTACAGTGGGTGCATCTATGTGTGTCTGGGGTGGGGTGGGGAGGAAAACCCCTTCGCTTTCTACTTTACACACTTTTCTAATTGAAACATACATACATGTATTCGTTGATTCATCATTAAAGACATTAATAGGCAGATGCAGGGGAAATGGGCTAGAGGATCGTACGAGCTTATAGGTCCAGCCTGGGCAACATAAGCTTCTCTCTATCTCAGTAACCAACCAACTAACCATCCAACCAATCAAACACACAAAAAAAACGAACACACTGCCACCACCACCCAGGAGCCTTTCAAGAGACAAAATGAAGGCAGGAAAAGGTCTGGATTTTATCTACAGTGCTGTCGATTGCAACCTGCATGACAAGGGGAAATCACAGAGCCTCAGGTTGGCTCATAAAGATGCAGAGAGCAGTGATAACTCGCTTCCACATTTTTTAAGTTGCTCAGTGGCTTAAAGTAATGAGTAATTAAAATTTATTTTTTAGGATACTCGTCTAACACAGTTATTTTGCTTTGATGAAAAGGAGTCCCGGTGTGTTTTTTTTCACGGTGGCTTTCCTAACCAGAGGCTCCTGTTGGTCTGGTGAGCACAGTTGCTTCTTAAGGCTTCCTCTTGACTTCTGGCATTTCTCCATGCTGCTGGCAAGCTGGGTGGCAACTGCTGAAGACACACCCCCCTCCCTGCCCAGCTGTGCCTGCACACACATACACTCCTTTGAATGGTCCTTGAGGTGGCGGCAGTTGCTCCCATAAAGACTGACTCAACCCAAAGGACTTTCCTGGCACAGTCTCCGTGTTGTCTCCTGAGGGGAGCTAGCTGGGTAACACTGTGCTTTTCCATATTTAATCTCTCTGCCCCCGAAGTCTTTGGGAAGACACCAATCCCGGCCTCCGGGCCTACCCCACTGCCCTTTCCTAAAGCCAGACCTTAATCTGCTCATTTCACGAAGATTTTCTGACCTAATGGACTGGGCCATGTGAGAGATTATTGAGAGGAACAGGCCCAGAAGAGGGTGGGGGACTCCATGCTAATCTAGTTAGCTGGCCGAGGAGTCTGAAAATGCACAGCTGTGGGGGATGGACTGGCTTTCAAGCACTTGGTTTAAAATGTTTGTCAGGGTCTGTGTCTGCAGCTCTGCTCAGCGTTTGGTTAGGAGGCATGCTGTTCTTCGGGAAAGATCTCTCAAATGTACAGTGACAGATGCAGGCACAGAAGGCCGAGAATGGCTGTCATAAATAACAGTGAACTGTTTAATCTTGCTGAGTTGTAAATCTGATGGCGGAGGTCTTTAGTTCACCAGTTCCCTGGAACATAGGAAGAAGGGTGGGGCCACTTAGGAAATGGGCAGTTATTTCCCAATCAGGCAGATGCTGGTCTGAGGAGATTCATGTGGAAACACACATAAAGGAATTTTAATTGACTGTGATAACTACTCAGAGAAAATATGTAACTTTGAAGAGATTTTAAAACTTTTATGTAAAATCTACCCATAAAATGGGTGTGGACACATATGTGTGTGTATGGATACAATCTGTCTACTTTATCAAGTAGCATGTGTCTGCTCTTTTACCCCAAAAAGCTGTATTTTTCCTGTAATATGTTTAAGAGGAGTCTTCATTTTTTTTTTTTCTGTTGCTGTATAAACTGCCATGACTAAAACAACTTAGAGGGGAAATGGTTCATTGTATCTCAGAATTCAAGGAACAGCCCATCATGGCAGCAGGAGCTGGAAGTGGCTGGTCACATTGCATTTCAAGACAGGCAGAGATGAATGCACGCAAGGTAGTGCTCAGTTCCTCTCTCTACTTTGTACAGGCCTGGATTCCCTGCCCAAGGAATGGCCTGCTGCACAATTAAGACGGGTCTTAATTAAACAATCTCCCCTCTCAGGTGAGCACAGAGGCCCCTCTCCAAATGATTCCAGACTCTGCCAACTTGACAGGGAACACTAACCATCACAGAGGACAGAACAGAATCCCAGATGTCAGAGATGATTGATGACATGGTAGAACCAAAATAGATACTCAGATCTTCCTTACTAACCTGTGTTTCTAGAACATTCAGCAGAACTTGGTGATGGAGAGAGAACAAGAATATACGGGGTATGACGGACCGCTCTAGGCAAGCCTCTCTCTCACAAGGATGGCTTTGTGAGCTGAGCTCAGTGACACTGAGGAGTCAGCGGCGCAGTCTGGTGCATGCAAGAGGACACAGTCAGTGAGGAGCTGAGGCAGGACAACATAAGATTTGGGTGGTGTGAGGTTGTCACTCCCTCATAGACTTCAGCATATTCTTAGTGACCAGGTTTTGTGGCTAAAACAACACCATGGTTATGGACACATTCTGTGGATTGACTTGCTTGTTAATTATTGGCAAATAATATCCAGCTTAAATTCCATCTTGCAATAGCTTCAGCCTTCAAACATGTAATTGTTTTACTTATGGAAACTTGAGGTAAAACACTTTTTCATTGTCAGTCAATTTAAATACTGGAAAATTATACACTCATGACAGTTATATTGACATTTTTCAATGCCATGAAAAGATAGAATTGCTCAGAAAGATACACACCACATGTCTTCTCATATCTATATATATATCCTAGCTTAGAGGCTTTAGAATTATGGGTTTGACTTGGAGTACCTGTAGAAATTGGGAAACTAGAAAAAGGCCAAGGGTAGGGAGTTTTAAGGAAGAGGTGGTACGAAGAGGTAAAAGGGGATTAATGGGTAGTGATTAAGTGAGGAAAGGGAGGAGAGGATAGAAGAGCAGATGGACGGGAGGATAACTAATACTAAAGATGCTTGCTAAAGCCATATGGATGCCTTCTATTTTATAAGCTGTAAATTTAAATACACATGAGAGAGAGAGAGAGAGAGAGAGAGAGAGAGAGAGAAGATACTGAGCAATTATCCCTTTTGTAACAATGTGTGAAGACAACCGAAACAGGCAGAGACCAAGGCTGTGCCTGGGAACGTTGACTGGGAACGTTGACAACAGTTGTTGTATGCGGTAGGATTACAGGTGATTTTTATTTTCTTATTATGTACTTCGTAAATCTTCCATAAAAATGAACACACGTGAAATATATTTCAACTTAGTACCTGATGACAATGACTCACTCATTCATTCCCTGTTAAAGAACGTTACCAGCTAGAGAAAGGCAGCGGGGTGTGCTGAAGGATTGCTCAGTGCTGGGCACGGTCACCTGCAGATAAGCTATATTACTTCCTTTGCCCCCATCATGTGATCTTCCGGATCCTTCAGATATCAAAACCGAGGTGCAGAGGGGCTCAGGATATTGCCCAGAGCCACAGGGGCAGGGGAACAAAGTCTGTTTTAATAGACTTTTTGTTGGGTGGCAGCCTGTCTTGGCTCTATGACTTATTTCTGCTTCTTCATCCAGGGCGATGCAATGAATATGAACATTTTTTTACCCTTTGTCCCAGAAGGTGATTACCTCATAGAATGCTAGCAGTTTACTGAGTCAAGCTCAAGGACAAGGCTACAGAGCATTCTCCAAGTGCTTAACTACCTGATTGCTAGGAGGGGCATAACTTCCAGTTTTTACTCCACTTTGCAGCTGAAGGCAATTAGATTTCCTGATCTTACTCAGATTTTCATAATGGGCTGACTGAACAAATAACTCGGGCCAAACTTCTATGTGCCTCTGAGTTTTCTTCACATGTTTGGACTCTAGGAGTTGCATGAGAAATCTGCATTGCTTTAGTGCAAATTGTACTCTCACTCCTCCTTCCAGCTCCAGAGTGTATGCAATGCCTTCCAAGGGTCCAGGGAGCTGGGATGCGTCCGGTTTTTCCCATCTGGTCCCCATGTAAGAAAGCACATAGCTGACAATTACCCATGTGCAAATGGAGAAGTCCCTTGATGTTTGGGTAACCACATCCATGCCTTGCCTTGAGTCTGTTATTTCTCTAAATTCCACTGAGCCATCCCTCTCCTCACTCACGCAGCACTCCTCAAGGCTTGGCACCTCTCTCTGACAGCTGGAACTTAAATGCTGAACGCTTAGTATTCACGTTTGTGGCTGCTTGGCTTTGGCCTTCATATGTGTGCTTGTGTGTGTGTGTGTGTGTGTGTGTGTGCTTGTGTGTGTGTGTGTGTGCTTGTGTGTGTGTGTGTG